TTTGATACCATCAGTCGTCCCCCCTTGTCTCTTTTTCCCTTCCTGATTCGTATTCCGCTGGCTTCATCATTGTCCAACGTACTGATGTAGTTTTGAGATGCTGTTATCCCAGGGGGTTGACCCTATTCTGAAGCAGCCCCCAAGGCGTTTGAATCACAATATTCAGGGTCTTTTCTTCCTCATAGGATAAAAGGACGTTCTCTATAGTTGCACCTACAGCACACGCCCGTGAGACGCCTTCCTTGGCGACCGGAACAAGCAGAATGCTGTTTCTGCTTGAGTTTACAAGCTAATTAAAAGTGAGTGCTACCTTGAGGGGCATAGTGCTAAGCAGCTGATTCATGTCCTGATTGATTAACGTTTCGATCATGCGGCACATTCGCTGTTCCACTTGCGGTTTGAAGTGGGCAATAAGAAATGCTGAAACTCGTTCATTAAGCCGCGATAAAAATAAACTCGTATGACCAGTTTCTATCAGCAAGTGAAAAGCCACCTTTGAAGGCATTGATGAAAAAGTCCGTGATTACACCGGTGTTCCGTACATTCAGGTCGACATAACCGATGCTCGACTGGCAGAGCGCCGATCGCACTTGAGGTGATCCGATGGTACTCCCAAAAATACAAGCTTTCATACAGATGTCATCAAGAAATGTGGTTCACAATGCTTGCAAGTTAAGAATGAACTCTTGTCTCTTTGCAGTAGCATCAATCTCCACCAGTTTTGGAAATTCGATCAAAAGTAAACTCTTCGTCCGAAAAATTGAAATTCAGCTTTCGTAACGTCAGTTTCAGAAGGGCCGAGGTGATATAGTGGCGTCCCTTCTCATGCGCACGGATCGAGGTCAAAGAGAGGGTCCCAGAGCGAACTTCGCCCGGGCTAATCAAGCGTTCCACTCAATTCTCTTAGTATTGTGCTGTCCCGGAGCCTCATCAGGACCTAAATTTGTTTAACACAGAGAAGCTCCAAAAGTTTTATTCCAAAAGAATTCCAAAAGTTCACAAAAGTCCAAATACTCCAAAAAACAGCCAAAAATTTTAAAAGAATTCCTTTGGAAACTTCCGCGATATTTCGGTGTATAACACCTTCTTCAGGCCTGAAATACATTGATTATAACTTGTATAATTATTTTTAGTGGTTTCCCTAATCCCCGTAGGTACTTACATGTAAGTACCTACGGGGATTAGGGTAATACCTTCGTATAAAATACATTATACGAAGTTATTAAAATTATACAAGTTATAATCAATGTATTTCAGGCCTGAAGAAGGTGTTATACACCGAAATATCGCGGAAGTTTCCAAAGGAATTCTTTTAAAAAATTTTTGGCTTGTTTTTTGGAGTATTTGGACTTTTGTGAACTTTTGGAATTCTTTTGGAATAAAACTTTTGGAGCTTCTCTGTGTTAAACAAATTTAGTTCCACTCAATTGTTATCAGACTTGTATGGAAGTTTAAAAAACCCGGTTTGTACATCAGTTGACCAACACAAGTCATTGTATAGGCCGTACCGCGCCCAAATGTCTCTACGATCCTGAATGGAAGTAGAATACGTGGCTTATTCTAGGAAAGGTGTGATCAATGCCGATACCTTCACCCTTTCATCCTTAGTGTATCGAAACTCGCAAGCCTCAGCACACGCGGTCAATGAAGTGACAGTGCTAAGTACTGATGATGAGTCGACAACTCTACTTTGAGTCTCATAAGCTGTAACTGCATGCTAGTTTTATTACGTACATAGGACCATTATTGAATATAGCCCCCCTTCTACCGGCACCAGTTCCCGAGTCGTATTTTTTGCTCTTCACTGAAAAATGTATTGCATGGCGCTTAGGAGATTTAAAGGCAGCGATTACGATAAATTCAAGAAGGGTTTAGTGTGACGTGGTGCTCAATGGTACGCCAGTAGCGAAAAAAGCAGAGAAATCCGTCAAGAAAACGCAAAACGGGACCCCTTTTTTGGCCGTTGGTTTTCACTCATGAACAGGTCAGCTCAGAAAGTGGACGTATGAACGAGTTCACCGCAACGCGTTTGGTGGCACCATGCCAAACCACGCTCCAATCGAGTTGCTCCAGTTGTGCCGCTGCTGGCAACGCAGCTCGTCCAAATCACAACTAAACTAGTGGGCGGATCGCTTTTGGGGGCGGAGTGCTTTCGAAGTCCTGCTCAGCAACCAGCGCACCTTTCGTCGTGAAAGCGCCACCTCGCTTCCCTGGCAGCCAAGTAACTGATTCGTGTGGTGCATATGCTTCCCCGATGCGCTCCCTCTTTATCGTAATCGCTGCCTTTAACGGTTTTCGGCTACGAATCCACCTGTAGCAGGAATTCCTCAAATTTCTAAAGCCAAATATTAACGAATCAAAAATGTACGCTGGATCTGCTCAGCGTTTTCGCTGTATAGGCGATTAACACATAACTGCATATTGTACTCTGAAGCTTGAAAAACTTACTTTTCTAGTCGGACTGATATTGTAAGAGCGACGTGACCGAGCAATGCCTCGAAATGTCCAGTAATTGGCACCGTAAGCAGCTCAGTGACCACCAAGGATCTGAATTCACTCTACAGGCGAAATCCTAAGAATGAGGAATCATTTTCTCCCCCAGCTGCGGACAAATCCAACGGATAATATAACCTTCATTAGGTTACCATCACCGATGACATTAGACCAAAATTGCGCATCGTTCAGAGCCCTCGAAAGCGACTAAAAACATGTAAGAAAACACTCCATACTCGGATTGTTACACACGCGTACTAATAATCCCTGCGGTCAAATGAACAGGCTGACGCGGCGAGCCGACTAACTAGTAACGATGTGCGTGTGACAATTACCATCGAGCCCTTTGAAAAACGCCTGCCTGTTAACACGAAACAGGGACACACCGGATTGCCTCACGCAGGTTATTATTGACGATAACTTAGTGTCGAGATTGACTGATAAAAATAAGCGACGGCGGCTGCCACTTATCGGTGGCCGAGACGGAAGCATTAAAAGTGAGCCCTTTTTCGAGCGGCTAAGAATCCCATCAAGAGAGAAAATGTGTCACAGAGGCGTAGTTGGTGTGAAGCCCACAAAAAGACAACTTTTTGCATTTCTCCTGATTTCCACTTTCTTGGGCTCCTTTTTCTCTATTCAGTAAACATAAAGCTTCCAGTCCACTTTCTTGGGCTCCTATTTCTCCATTCAGTGAACATAAAGCTTCTAGCATGCAACTAGTTCACGCAAAATTGAGAGTTTATAAAAATGTAAATGTTGCACATCCTGAGAAAAGTTTTCCCCCATAGGCCGCTCAAAAAAAACGACCATCAATTTTATACTCCACGCACGTACCTCTATGCCAAAAAGCAACCCGTTTCAAAGCGCTTCACGCCCTGAACGACATTTTTGGTGAGAAGTGTGGGAAGTTTAACAAAATTGCAGCCCATGTGCATCGCCGGGTACGCACATCGGTGTGAAGCCCTTCTTCGTACACTCTTGTATCCTTTCATGACTACCCACCTTTCGATAGTATTACGAATTTATTGGACATACAGCCAGAAAAGTTCCCCTCTCTCGTTAGTTTCCTCATTTTCATATTTCGTCAGTATTTCCCGCGTGCACGAATTTATTTTCAAGGGTATTCAATAGTTCTGGTTACCGAAACCGGTCCGTTAGACATTCGTCGTTACTCATGCACCTGTAAGCCTCTTCAGCGGGCTAGGTTTGCTAGTCCTTCTTGTTTTGAGCTCAAACCAGTGGCAACCTGACAACCTTGAGAGAAAGTGTAGGAAGAGCTTTCGGAAAGCGGTCGCCCTAACCACTTAAATTATGGCAAGTATCAGGCCGTCTTCTTGACTGTATGAGGACGCCTTAGACCCTACAACCTAATCTCTTTCTTAATTAGCTTGTATCTTCAGCTTCGCCATAGAACAATAATAAAAAGCAATCTGTTGACAAACCGGATATGCATCTTCGACATGGTCCACTGGAACATATTCGGCTCGACGAGGTCTAGTGAATACTCCTGAGGTGGCCAGTACTTTGAGATACGAGCATTATAGATGAATACCTGGAAAAATTGAATAAAGCATCAAGCCTGCGACGTTGATTGATCCATTTTTGTTACGCCCCGAGAAATCCTCTGGTAATTCCCAT